AAAAAAAAAAAAAGATGAAACTAAGAGAGGGAAGTCCCAAAGCAGATTTATGCCATGAGGAAACAGGCTGATCCCAGTCTCTTGAGATGAATTTCTACAAGCACCAACGAAAACACTTAACATGACTTCAATCTCCAGGAAAATGCAAAAAACCGGGAAAGTAACTTCTCAATAACATCAGGCTCCCAAAACTGAATTCGACATAGAAGAGATCAAGAACATTACAGCTTTGGGAAGGATATACCAGTAACAGAAAACTACGTGTTTGTAATGACAGAGATGGGAATACATTTACACATTTTTCAGGGCTCTCATATCAAACACACATGTTGTTACCTAAGGTGGAGTTTTTCTAGCCCAGCATCTGCAAGGTCATCATTGGCCCTTTGATGAATGTCCCTCTGTGTTTCTATTTTGTGATCATCAGACAGACCATCAACTTTGTGAATAAAAACCTCAAAATTCATGTCTGGGTTAACTTTGTAGGCTTTAGAAACAGTAATGTGAAGTCTTGTTAAAGCCTCCATGTAGTCATCCTGTAAGTCAGAACAAAATATTTTTTTAAAAAGAAATCTTGTAAAAGTCAGTAACGAGTTAAGAAAGCCTCAAACCACCTCTTTCCCCAACCATAGAAAATATATTATCCTAATTATTCACAAATACTCAAAACATTCAAATACACTAACATACTTTAATCTCTCTAAATCTTTAATCTCTCCAGATAAAAAATGTAATTACCAAGTTAAAGCTTGCAATTTTTAAATATTGGTAATATAAGGAAATGGACATGTCTTCCCAAGAGAATTTTTTAAAAGTAATCCCAGCTCTGCCATTTATTAGATGTGTGACTTTAAGCAGGTTGCTTAAACTTGTGATCTGAGTTTTCTTCATAAAAATTGGCCTTACCATACCTACCTCACGGTATCGTGAAAAATAAATTAAATTGGACCAGGTATGTGGAAGCATCCATTACAGAGCCTGTCACTCAGAAAGCATTCCCGACTGATGTTTAAGCTTATATAAAGTAAGCTTCTTAAGGACAGGGACATGTCCCATCCTTCTCAGTGCCTTTCACATGCTAGGCCCTCAATAAATGCTTGTTGAGCTAAACCCAATTTGGACAGCCAAGGAAACCAGTCACTTTAATATTTACTCAGTTCTCCTCGTCCTCCTTATATTAAGGGCAAAGAGGAGATTTTTCCAGCAAGTGACATCACTATAATAGTTAATGAAGTACAGCAATATCCACTACTAGCAAATAAAAGTGGAAACCTGCTCATTAACTGGAACTCAAAGATAATAAATAAGCCACTATCTCCTAGTCATCTCTTATTCTGCACTCGCACAATGGCATGCCTGCTCCCAACACACCTCTGTGGCTACATCTCTCGTACCGCAAAGACTTCTACAGGCAAAGAAATAAGCAGCAAGAAGCACATGATAAAAGAAGATAAACAACTTTCCTTTGTTTCTACATCTTTTGACAGCAGAAAAAAGAAGTAAACATCATTATTCCTAACTACCTGTGCATCAATGACATATATCAACGCTCCGGTTCCCCTGAAGATCATCTCGTAGTCAAAAGTTGGGTCAAAAAAGTCCATTTGCCCAGGAAAATCCCAGATCTGGAAATTCACAAAGGAGCTATTGGAAATGTCATCTTTATAGATCTTGTTGGTACTTTCCAGAAAGAGGGTCTCGTTGGGTGACATTTTATGAAACACCACCTGTTAAAAGAAAGAAGATAATTTTATAACTATTCAACTTTGTATTTCAAGGTCAAAGTTCCACTCTGAATTCACATGTAAAAAACGTGATCCTACAACAAAAATGTTTAAAGAGATAAAAAAGTGAATGGTGTGTCCATCAGTACTCACTACCCTTTGGCTTCTGAGAGATGAGAAGACACCAAATTACTTTCCATCAGGCCTATTTTGGAGCTAAACTTTTCTGCTATTTTCTCTGCGCCATATTCAATCCTAGTTGTAGCCATGTCTCTCGTGTTAATTTTGTTTTCTGTTAAACTTATTAATTCTGCCAAAATCTGCTTTAAGATTACAAAAACGTACAGCTAAAGTTTAAGAATTTTTGTTCATTGAAAACTTACTGGGATGCCTATATCAGGCTCTGGGAAATCGTTAGAAACGTTAACTGACTAGACTCTGTCTTCACTGAGTTTGCAGTCTTGTGGAAGAAATAAAACAGACAGTAATTATACCAAGTAGAAAGTGATATATGGGGGGAAATAGTCATACATGGGGGGAGGGGAGGTGACAAGGAAAAACAGCTCCCATGAAAGAAGAAATAGTAAAGGTAATGACTGAGAATCAGGATAATCACAATCCATACAATTCTAACATAAAGCTAATTTGTCCCTGTCACTTTCTAGAAAAGGAAAATAGGTGGTTACTCCCAAGGTCTAGTCAATGAGTAACAATGGAGAAGAATGAAATGCAGTTTGCTAAAGCCCTACCATAAATGTACTCAAATTTTGCTACAGTAAGTGAGATGATAAATAAAACCCAGCAACCCAGTAAATTGGGAAGTAAACACAACACAGTAATCCAGTAATTTCGGAAGAAGGCTACTTTTTAAAGCCATCACGTTTACAAAATATCACAGATTTATTGTGGACAGACCTTTGCAACAGACTGGAAAGGGCAACAGACCGGGTATCTGGCGTTTTAATACCAGCTCACTT